GCGACCAACTTTATTTTTCGCAAATATATTATTTAAATTAATTGTAGTTTGAATAAAAGCAAAAATTTAACGTGATTAACTCTTATCTGAACTTGTTTTTTTCATGAACTAGTAGAACGATGAGAATAAATAATATAATTAAGAAATCCGGTTTCAAGTATGTTTATCAATACATAACCATCAATTTTCATATATTTTCTACCAGTGACCTTCTTCGCATGATTGGTGTCGGTGGTAATTCTTTCGTCGTCATTTGCAATTGTTGGAGGTTCTGTGGTGTCTTCTGTTGGAACGAAATTGGGGACGCCGCGACCATCTTGTTGTCCAATTTTTCCATTTTCAAGTTCGTAAAATACGATTTTATCAGTATTTAAATCTTTGGTGACATTTTCGATTCCATCACAGATTTGATCATCTTTTGATTTCTTCGTTTCTTTCTTTTTATCAACATCGATTATGATATCACCATCGGTATTTTTCTTCTCATCCAATTCAAATTCAATAAAATACATAGAATCATCAACAGGCAGAGGGTAGTAATATTGCTTTGTTTTTGTTTTTTCAGATTGGGTGACTTTTTCTGCATTATTGTTTGTATCATTTATTTTTTTAGTAACATAATAATTGCCACAGTGAAAAGAAGACCTAGAATAGGGAAGAACGTTCCTAGTTGAGAGAAAAAGCTGGGGTATATCTTAAGATCGTTATAATTTCCAACAACAGGACACGTAAAACCACTTTTTGATTGAGTTGGATCGCTTATCGGAAACTGTATTATATTGTTAGGAACAAGACTGCTTTGTTTTTGTTCAGCCGGACTTGGATTTTTTGCTGGTTCAGCATCTTGTGCGTTTGATGTGGAAATAAGACAAACAAACATAAGACAAAATAAATGGAAAATAAAAAGTTTTTGATAAAACCTGAACCGAAAAATTTTAAAGTTCATTGCAAAAATCATCCTTGAATAATCTATGAATAGATAATTCAAAATTTAATAAAAGAGGATTTACGCCTAATTTATATAAAAAAATCAACGATAAACATTCGTTGGTTGGTTGGTTGGTTGACAAATAAAGATAGTAAAATCCGGAATAAGCACCTTTCTATTTTTAAGTATTATCATTTGCTTCTACAATAAACTCTAAATTGGATTCGTAGAGTAATTGGCTTTGTCTAGAATTTAATTTAAATTTTTTTTTTTCATTGTAACAAACAGATTCAGCATATAGAATATCTGCAAAAATCGCTTTTGTAAACAGCAATGCAAACAACGTTATACTGAATGAATAATTGCTTTTAATAATACCAAATATATATTCATTTTGTTCTATACATTAATGGCAGCATAAAGAGCATTTAGATGAATTGTGGTAAATCTCATGGATCTACAAAATTTGATTTGTTGGGCAGCATAAAAAAAACGCACTTAAATGATTGTTTTTTCCGCTGATTATTGTATCAAATTTGGCAATTTTTTGTGAATCAATTCAATTATAATAAAAACGCCCAAACTTTATCCAGTTCTTTTTTCTGTTCAGTCTTTCCTTATCGGCTTATAATTTTTTTATAATGAAAATTAATATTAATATTAAGAAATTCAAAACAAACGAGTAATCTAAAATAAAATGAATAAACCAATAAATGTTAATTCTTTTTTTGACTTTCAAAGTGGAGAATTTTGAAAACCAAGTTAAAAGGATTAGCAAATAGGAATTAAAAAGATTTTTATGAGCGTTTGTTAATTTAAATGCTATATCTCCAAAGTCCCTTCATCGATTGACAAGGTTGATTTGCAATAGGAATCATCAAATATTCAAGCGTATATTTTATATTGTAGAAATAGTTCGCATAATCATACGATTTATTTTCAGGTAATTGTCCAGTGTTTTTGGATAATTTCGACCTTTAAAATTTGACGTTAAGGGAAAAAAAAATACATGTTTTTAACTACATTTCTTCCAAGGTAATACAAGATAATCTGCATGTAAATTTACGCCATAATAATAAAAAAAATAGTTATTATTGTCAATTTTGGGTAAAACTTGTTGCACTTGAATTCCATGATAA